TATATATATATATATACTGTATATATATATATATATATATATATAGCCAGTCTTTCAGAAGCCTTTGAAATAGGAAGTGACCAAATTGTCACAAGCATCAGGTTCAGCCAGATATAGGGGGAAGGAAGCTCTCGGATATTTAGCACACAAGTCTTCTTCTGATGAACTCAGGCACAGTTTGAGGACAGAACAGTAAGTAAGTTACTAATTTATATTTTTTTCTACACAGTGACTATTTAAACTCCTTATTAAATAACTAATGCATTGCAAATGTCGCACTGCACGTGCTCCATTAACAGTGAAAAATGAAACTATGTTCTGTCATTCAAAAAAAAGTACTTGGTGGTTACTGGTAAATGAAGCGCCGTAAATGATGACAACATTTATTCCCAGGTGCTGAACTTTGATGCTGAGATGGTTTTCTGGAGCTGTTTACTGTCACTCTTTCTCTGGCTCAGAGGTTAGTAAAATGTAACTAGATAAAATGGTTACCATGTACGACAGCTGTTTTAAATTGTAAATAATCAATGTTTAGTCTTTTTGGAGTTAATTTTACACACACATACATACAAAAAGTCTTTAATAATCAGTTAATTTTTTCTGCTCTTAGGCCATGCAGTATTAAAAATAAAGTAAAATGAGTCATTCCTCACACAAAGGAATTACAGTGTACTTCCTGACATCTATGGGGAAGAAACTATTAAGTGTACTGAGATGAGTGTCTTGGAAAAGTATTTAGACCCATGCTAACAAAAGGATAACTGTTAGACAATGTTTCATTATGATGTACTGTCACTGGTATAACATTAAAATTGGCATTTGTACGATTAGATAAAATATTTTAATTGGTCACTAAATTGTCAAGAAAAAAAATAATAATTTTGATTTATTCTTCTTTCAGTGTCATCTGCTAATGCTGGGGAATGGAGCGCTAAAATGCCAGAATCAGTGGTGGGTTTGTCTGGATCATGTGTGCTGATTCCCTGTACGTTCAGCTACCCTGCAAATGGAAAAACATACACAGAATTTACAGGGATTTGGTACAAAGGAAATGAAGAATCAACAGTATACCATACAGACACTTCAAAAATCATTGACTCATTCAAAGGTCGCACTAGTCTCATTGGTGATTTGCGCAAAAATTACTGTTCTTTGAAAATCAGCTCTCTGAGCAGCAGTGATGCTGGGCCATTCATGTTCCGGATTGAGATTAATGATCTGAACAAGTACACATATAAAAAGAAAGAAGAAATAGTTTCTATAACAGTGAAAGGTAAAGGTCCTCTCTGTATTAAAATGACCAGAACACAACCTGATGATTAAAGTTATCCAGATGTCATCAATATGATTTTTTGTGTAATACCTAAATCAATATTTTAATGAACTTGTCAAGCATAATGGAAAAAAATGATGGAAAAAACATTTGATATTGTGTCAACAATTTGTGTCTTCACCAGAAACACCAGAGAATCCTACCGTCTCTGTGGAAGAGGAAGTAACATCAGGGAAACCGGTGACTGCTACCTGTGCCGTGTCTCATTCCTGTCCGTCAGACCTGCCTCGTGTCTCCTGGAGCCATGATGGCTCACATTCAAGTCCATCACAGCCACAAAATCATGGTCAATGGAAGCTTACATCTTACAGCCTGACCTTCACTCCTTCTAGAGAAGACCACAATAAACGCCTCAGCTGCTCTGCAGAGTTTAAAGGGAAGACAGTGACAGGCTACAAAACACTCAAAGTTAAATGTAAGTCCGCTATGTGAGTGTAAGACAAATGATCAGATGCTAATTCATATCTTTTCTTCTTAGCTGTTAATGGTTTTAGGGCTGTGATTTGCAACCTTTTTTACTCTAAAGCCCCCACTGTCCAACACAATAGTCATATGCAGTATTTCTGCAGTAATGATAAAAATGTTTGTTTTCAAACTTTTGAGTTTGAAAAAAAGAAACTGTCATTAAATTAATTAACCACAATTCATTTAGTGATTTCAGATGTTCGAGAACTGTATTTTCTGTTTCAAAATAATACTATTTGAGGGGCCGAAGAAAATAAATGTATGTCTTGTTTTTAATTCTTTATTTTATGTTTAATTACATTTATTTAAATAATTAAAATAATTTTACTATATTAATTATGTTGATAACAATATATTAACCTTGATAATTTCAAGTGGTCCCGTGGTCAAACTGAAAGTTTGCAGAGGCCCCCTAGTTGAAAACCTTATTCGAAAACTTAAAAGGGTTAGTTCACCCAAAAATGAAAATTAGCCCATAAATTACTCACCGTCAAGTCATCCTAGGTGTATATGACCCTGCTGAGTACAACGATAGAGCTTGAAAGATCAAAGACAATTTTTAATATAACTCCGACTGGATTCGTCTGAAAGAAGAAAGTCATATACACCTAGGATGCATCGGGGGTGAGTGAAACGCAGCCTAATTTTCATTTTTGACTGAACTAACCCTTTAAGTTTGAATAAAAAGCTTATATTAGTTTTTCTCGGTTACTAAAATTTCAAAACCATAACGTCATTTTTTTTTTAAAGAGCACACCCATTTCCCTAAACTATAAACACTATTCCCCTGCTTTGACACATGAGTCCGATTTGGTGAACTGTTACTGCAAAACTCTACACACAAATCCCTACATTTCTCAGTGCTTACACCATGTGGTTATTCACAAAGCACTAGCATTCAATATTGTTCACTCAAGTCAGCACAGTTTGAGCTCAATTAGCACACAATTACCCAAACAGAAACTCTAGAAGTCTAAATTGATCACACACCAATCAGAACCTTCGACGGAGAGATAAAAGGGCCAAAATCAGCTCATTCATGTGCGAAACAATGGATCCAGAGAGACGTGAAGGAAGAGGTTGAGGACACCAGAGAGGAGGAGGAGGAGGAGGGAGTGGAGGAAGAAATGAAGAAGGAGGAGGAGGAGGGAGTGGAGGAAGAAATTAAGGAAGAGTAGGAGGTGGAGGAGGAGTACGGAGAGGAAGAGAAGGAGAAAGAGGTTTTCAAACATCTTTCTGTCTGCATACTATCCCTTTCTAAACCACACACTCTTAAAAATAAAGGTGCTTCAAAAGATTCTTCAAGCGATGCCATAGAAGAACCATTTTTGGTTCCACAAAGAACTATTCAGTCAAAGGTTCTTTAAAGAACCATCTCTTTCTTAACTTTTTATAAAACCCTTTGTGAAACAGAAAGGTTCTTCAGATGTTAAAGGTTCTTTATGGAACCCTTTAGACAAAAAGGTTCTTCTATGGCATCGTGAAGCACCTTTATTTTTAAGAGTGTATTCCCCTGCTTTGACACATGAGTCCGATTTGGTGACCTGTTACTGCAAAACTCTACACACAAATCCCTACATTTCTCAGTGCTTACACCATGTGGTTATTCACAAAGCACTAGCATTCAATATTGTTCACTCAAGTCAGCACAGTTTGAGCTCAATTAGCACACAATTACCCAAACAGAAACTCTAGAAGTCTAAATTGATCACACACCAATCAGAACCTTCGACGGAGAGATAAAAGGGCCAAAATCAGCTCATTCATGTGCGAAACAATGGATCCAGAGAGACGTGAAGGAAGAGGTTGAGGACACCAGAGAGGAGGAGGAGGAGGAGGGAGTGGAGGAAGAAATGAAGGAGGAGGAGGGAGTGGAGGAAGAAATGAAGGAAGAGTAGGAGGTGGAGGAGGAGTACGGAGAGGAAGAGAAGGAGAAAGAGGTTTTCAAACATCTTTCTGTCTGCATACTATCCCTTTCTAAACCACACACTCTTAAAAATAAAGGTGCTTCAAAAGATTCTTCAAGCGATGCCATAGAAGAACCATTTTTGGTTCCACAAAGAACCATTCAGTCAAAGGTTCTTTAAAGAACCATCTCTTTCTTACCTTTTTATAAAACCCTTTGTGAAACAGAAAGGTTCTTCAGAGGTTAAAGGTTCTTTATGGAACCCTTTAGACAAAAAGGTTCTTCTATGGCATCGTGAAGCACCTTTATTTTTAAGTGTATAGAGGAGGTTTTTTTTGGCATGGCGGTGAAAAGTATATGACCAAGACCCTTACATCCGTGTTCACCTCCTCCAGACCATGAGAGAAGCCTGGCTGGATATTTCAGTTGATGTTGATGCCAGGGATGGCTCAGGCATGCAAGGATATTTCACCCCCGCTGCCTGGCCAGGGCCAGTATAGCCTGTGATGTTGACGAGGTTCTTTGGCCTGTCCCAGACAAAAAAGACAGGTTGCTGGGGCAGAATACAGTAATTATTTTATATTATTATGCATACATTTGTTGTGCTCATCATGTGGAAAGTTTTTTTGGGGGAGAACCACAAGCAACATAACTTATTACTGGTTTTTGAAGTATTGTTTTGAATTTATCTCATCAGTGTGTAAAACTGTGTTGTAGTGTGTGTGTGTGTGTGTGTGTGTGTGTGTTGTTGAGGGTTTGTGTGTCATGTCTGAGAGCAAAGGTTGGTTTTTCAGCAATATTGAGTTTTTTTTGAGTGGAGAGCTTCATTTTGACCTGAATATAGGAAGTTTGGGGAATTGAGTTTGAAGTTATGGATTTGTGTTTTGAGTTTCGCAAAAAAGAGGCATAATATCAAGAAATGTGTTTTAGCAATCGAGAAAAACTGTATGTTTGAACTGAATGTTTGAGAGTTAGACTGATCAGACCATTGACATAATACATAGCATTTTATCAAAAGTTTGTCTCATTCAGATCCTCCATATAATGTAAACGTGGTCACTAAACCCTCAGTGAAGGAGAATGACTCTGTGGAACTGAACTGCTCCAGTAACAGCAATCCTCCTGCAAACAGCTACCAGTGGTTCAGCTCAAATGGGAAGAGGTTAGCAGAGAACCCCACTTACAAACTGGAGAGAGTATCTCGACATACTGAGGCCATTTCCTGTACAGCCATTAACACAGAGGGAAAAAACAGTTCTGGTCCGCAGAAAATTAACGTGCTGTGTAAGTACTAAGTATTATGTGTGACTGAACCTTTCTTGATTAGAGAAAGTATTTTTAACATGGACAAAATGAAACATGCCACCTTTAAATTTAAAGAAATATTCCAGGATTAGCTGATTAGTTAAGTTGAAGTCGATTCAAGTCAGCAACTCTGAGTTACTGTGAGACAATTACAATAATTACAATGGAAGCGCAATCCGTAAACATTAAAATACTCAATGTTTTAGTGGTCTGCACTCCTACTGGCCCCGACGAGTGCACAGGAAATGGTAAAAAGAACTGAAAAATAAAACTGACTTAAATATGTTTTTAATGAAAGTAATGTTATTGTGTGATTCGTCTACTAAGCAACAACAACAAAAAAGTTTGCATAGGCAGTTCTGGATATTCTCAAAGTTTTTCACTTCCTTATAGGTGCATTGACCTTGCATCTTGTTTTAAGTTTTTTTTAAACCTGGAATATTTCTTTAAGGTGTGTCCATTGTAGCATTTTAATCACTGAAAGGCTGCTACATTCGTAAACAAAATTAAGGTCCTTTATTGGCATCTATGGTTTTATGAAGAACCTTTAACATAATTGGTACCTTTGAACTGAATGTTTGTCATTGGATCAACATTTTGTCTCAATCAGATCCTCCATATAATGTAAACGTGGTCACTAAATCCTCAGTGAAGGAGAATGACTCTGTTGAACTGACCTGCTCCAGTAACAGCAATCCTCCTGCAAACAGCTACCAGTGGTTCAGCTCAAATGGGAAGAGGTTAGCAGAGAACCCCACTTACAAACTGGAGAGAGTGTCTCGACATACGGAGGCCATTTCCTGTACAGCCATTAACACGGAGGGAAAAAACAGTTCTGGTCCACAGAAAATTTATATATTGTGTAAGGCATCGGTTCAACAGTTTAAACTGGTATTTTTAGTGAAAGAAGATAATTGTTTATAATTTATGATATCTGTCTGTTGGTTCTACTTTCTGTTTGGGGTTCTGTTCTTGCCCGACCGGGCTGTAACCCGCAGACCGACCTGTGGGCTTGAACCCAGGAGAGCGTCCTGTGGGAATCAAGCCCATGGAGCGAGCAGGTGCATGACGCCGCAGAAATCTGCCAGAGGTCACGAGGTCACCATAACCATGGGCGTGCGAGAAGGCGTAACCGGACCGCCGTGTGCTCCTTCGGGTGAGCCTGGTGCGGCGCGGACGCGGAGTAGGCTCCTTCATCTGACGCACCTTATACCTCACCTGTATTTAACAATCAAAACGGAAATATTCATTTGTGCACCCATCAATTTCAGCAAACACTTGAGATACTGTCTTTCTCTTTACTCTATTATTCATTATACTACTATCATTTTGATATTACTATTGCTTATACAATTACAATAAGACATTTTAATGTGCATACAGTACTTCCTCTCATTCTGTCTTCCCGTTTTTCTGTCTCATTCAGCCACTCACAATGACTACATTTACATGCACATCAAGACTCCAGTATTATTTGGCAACATTAATACTGAGCCATGTAAACGCTGCAATCCAATTGCCTGATACTGTGTGTTTGGTAATAAAATAAAATAAAAAATAATTTTTAAAATGAGAGAAACTGCTTTCTATGTAAATGCACTATTCTGAATTCAGAATGCAGTTTCGTGTTTTACGTCTGCAGAACAAAATGAAAAAATAATTTAACTTGCAGCATTAAGAAATAAAAGAAACATCAATGCATTTCTAGAGTGACAACGAGACAGATTTTTTAATAGAATTATTTAAAAAATTAAATATGAACGATTATAATAATAATAATAATTATTATTATTATTAATGATTGCCTGACCCTTTCCATTTTGTGGTGGTGTCAGGCATTTTAGGTGAAAAGTGCTAGTCCTAATTAAATGATCATTGAAAAGGTTATAAAACTGAGCATATTGTATTACAGTAATATTCCAAAACCTGTGTATGTGTATAAACATTCTGAATATGGCTGCAATCTGAATAATGACCTTAACGGAATTTGATGTGCATGTAAACATAGTCAATCACTTAATATTCAGAACATGCCAATGTGTAATGTGTTTTATATGTGATCTTAAAAGTAATTGATATAATAATAGTTCATGGAATAATGATGTAATTTACTGTTATTCGGTAAGTAACTGGAACTGTGATTTACACTCTATTTGAGGATCAGTGATGTTAAGTAACTCTATACCTTGTCATTGATGGTAGGAGAGATCTGGCTGTAGAAGAACCGGTAAGCAATATTCACCTTACAGGGTTGGCTGGGTTTCCCTGAGACTATCCAGTGTTTTGCCAATAACAGTCTGGGAAGCTCTTCCATAACTTTGGAAACACCTCAAAATGGTGAGACTTCATCTTTAAAAACACTCTATCATTGTTTTATTGCATAATCGCATATAATTCATTTAAATATTTGTTTCTTTTCACAGGCATAATAATATACATTGCTGTTGCATCAGCTGTTGTAGTTGTTTTAGCCTGCATTTTAGTGTATGTTGTGGCAAGACGCTGGTAAGGATCTCTCATCCCTCATTCACTGACTCACTCAATCAGTGGGTCTTGTTACTCCTTTGTTTCCTGGCAACTTTAAAATCCCTCTTTTTTTTTTTTCAGTGGGAAGAGAGCTGCACAACTACATGTAATAAAGAATGAGCAGAATGAAATGAAGATAACCCAAAACAAGTCTGATTTAGAAAAGTATATATATATATATATTAGTATAAACCTATATACACTACAAGTCAATTTTAGAATCATTAATGTTTTTTAAATTACTGATTAAAAAAAATAATTCAAAAGTTTGGGGTAACATCATCTTTTTTAAAGAAATTAAAACTTTTTTCAGCACGGATGCACTAAATTGTTTAAACATGACATATTCCAAATGTCACAAAAGATTTCAAATAAATGTTATTATTTTAAACTGTCTATTCATAAAAGAATCCTGAAGAAAAATGTATTACGGTTTCCACAAAAAGTAGCATAACTGTTTTCAACATTGATAATAATAAGAAATGTTTCTGGTGCAGCGAACGAGTATATCAAATTGATTTTTGAAGGATAATGTGACACTGAAGACTGGAGTAATGATGCTGAAAATTCAGATTTGCATCACATGAATAAATTACATTTTAAAATATATTAAAATAGAAAATATTTACCGTAAATTGTAATAATATTTTAGAATATTACTGTTTTTACTGTATTGTTTTGCTTTGGTGAGCAGAAAAGGCTCATATTATAAAACAGGACATCTTAATGATTTAAAACTTTTGACTGTAGTGTATAATATAATATTTGTTACATAACTATATATCAGAACTTTTACTAATTATTTGTATCTATCGTTTTATGAAAAGCAGTAAAGAAGAGAAAGGCAGTGATGGGGATATTTACACAAATTGCCCGAAAGGTCGTGTTTATGACAACTGGGGGGTGAGTACGACTTTGCGCCATCAGTGCAAACTTTTTATTCTTTCACAACTATTAAATGAATAGTAGCGCATCAGTTCTTTAGATTTTTTTTTGACAAGTTCTTGGAGGTTGATTTTCGGTGTGAGTTTAATGTGTTGTTTGTGTTATGTATGTAAAAAAAAATTACTTGATAGAGCCTGGTTGCACTTTATTTAAAGGGGTGGTTGATTTTGGTTTCACTTCTTTTTTTTTTTTTACTTTAGTTTAATTAACCTTTATTTAACCAGGTAAGTCAGTTGAGAACCATTTCTCATTTACAATGACGACCTGGCCAAGAGGCAGCATAAAAAGCAGGTACAATACAATAAAAAACATAATAAAGTTACAAATAACACAATTGTAAACAATAACATATAAAAACAAACAGATAACTAAAAACAAGTACAATGGTCTTGTACTATTGACTGAATTAAATTTTTAAAGGAAGAGAGCGAGATAAATGAACTAAGCTTTAAAGTCTGTTGCAGATGATTCCAATCATATGCAACAGAAAACTGAAAAGAGCAACGACCAAAGGACGTACGGACTTTAGGTATGCAGAAATTAATGAAACTACTAGAGCGCAGATTACGACTTGTATTATGAATATTAAGAAGTGACTGTAAATATAATGGCGTTTTCCCGATAAGAGTTTTATAAATGAACAGAAACCAATGAATTTGTCTACGAGAATGAAGAGAAGACCAGTTCAATAAAGAGTACAAGTGGCAATGGTGAGTGTTAAATGAAGCTCCAGTCACAAAGCGGATTGCTGCATGGTAAATAATATCCAGTTTATGAAGGAGAGTTTTTGAAGCAGACCTGTAAACTATATCACCATAGTCCAAAATTGGGAGAACTGACATTTTAACCAAAAGCTGTTTTGAAGAATGTGTAAAAGAAGATTTGTTACGATAAAGAAAACCGATACGAGATTTAACCTTTCTGAGCAATACATTTATGTGAGTTTCAAATGACAATTTGCTATCAAGCCAGATACCAAGGTATTTGTAGCATTCAACATAATCAATCTCAGAGCCGTCCAATGAGAGAATTTTAGGCAAATATTCAACCTGTTCGAATTAAATAAATTTTCGGCAGCCGAAATTTAAAATTTAATTTAAAAATATTAAAAAATGATTTTTTACACGGCACCCCTGCTCTCGACAGACGGCACGCCAGGGTGCCGCGGCACCTCGGTTGGGAAACACTGTTCTAAAGCAGCGGTTCTTAAACCTGTTCACACGCATCTCTCTCTCTCTCTCTCTCTCACACACACACACACACACACTCTCTCTCTCTCTCTCTCTCTCATTCAGATCATCAGCCTGTCAGCTCCATCAAAGAACTGTGTTCCAGTTATACACTTTGTGTATAGACAGACAGATATTTTTCACATAGCTATGAGAAGTGTTAAACATGGTTTCCGTGGTAGCGAGCAATACTTGTTCACACTAAGAACGATAACTATAAAGATAATGATAAAGATATAGTTGTACAAAAATGCTACAACGCAATCATGTATTCTACTGTATTACAGCTTTAATCAGGATAAAACCGTATATATTAAAAGCTTACATAAGCAGTAGCATTTACAAATAACAGTGTATCTAAACGTATGAGACAACAACAAAGAAAGAAACATACCATTCTGAAACGTCCTGTAAGAGTAGTGGTGGAAAGAGTACTAAGAAATTGAACTTAAGTAAAAGTATTGCTACTTAAGGAATAATTTACTTGAGTACAAATAAAAGTACTGAAAAATAATATGACTCGATTAAGAGTAAAACAGTGTCTCAAGTATACTCAAGTTACTGCGTTACAAAGTACTTTAGTATTATTTTTCTATTTTTACCCAAAATGAGACGATGTGAGCATTATGGAGCAGGGTTAACCCTAATCCTAACACCCATGTACTGTAATATGTCTGTTTCAAAAGTGAGACCCAGGAAATCCCTTATATGGACAAATGCATCAGATATCACTACAGCTGAATAACATGCATAGAGATGCTTTGACTGATGAAACGTGGAAGACAATAAACACACAATAGCAATGCAATGCTAATTGGCATAGCTTGTATCATAGAATTTTATTAAAAAATATATTTTCTGTCTCACTGTAATAAGTAGCAAAATGGAACCACAGAAGCTAACTGTTTCAAACACGACTGATGTTGTATAGTGATCTTGGAGCAAAACATGATATTAGTCTCATAAATTGTCATGTTTGATGCTATGTTGAGCAAACATACTACATATCCCTGTTGCCAGGAGCAGGCACGTGCACACATAGACATTAAAGGGGGCTTGAGCACCTGCCCCTTTTCTTCCTCGAGAGAAAGTGCCCTTTTTTCTGGGGAGTTTTATTATTATTATTATTATTTTAATAAATGAATATATGTATATATATGTGTTGAAAAGTACATTCACGTATAAGATTATGTGGTTATTTTTAAGAAGGGCAGCAGAGAAAACAGCCTGTGAATCGTCTTGACTTGAATGGTTTAAAATCACATTGAAAGTGTAGTTTGTTATAATAACAAAGGTGGACTCCAGGCACATTTTCGGTAGGACAAAAAAAAAGAGCATTTTATTTAACATGTTAACCCATACCTTGGCTTGAGAATCCAAAATCTATTCCAATTCTGGAATAGAATGCTTAAGGTGAGGAATCGTCTACTTGTTATAAAATTAAAATTTCGATTCCTCGTGTTGATTCCTTTGTGCGCATTTTAATATGACTTTTAACCATTCAGGCACAAGCAGCCTCATGCTCTGTTTTCTGTACTGCACACATAGGGGCGTAGCCATCATTTCAGAAATGAGGGGGACAGAAATGTAAAAAACAAACAAACAAAAAAAAACTTTTGACTTTTGTCTAATTGACAGGCTTTATTTTTTCTTATGTCTTTTAATTGGCTAAGAAATCAAATTACTGCTGGACGATAACCAATCATTTGTATTCTATAACATTTTTTCTGTATTTTCCTAATGACAATTTTAGGATTGGTTTATACAAACACATAATAAGGCAGAATAGTTTCTATACTGTAATACATTTTATGTCAATAGGTGGTTTGCAATCACGTGATTCTGATGACGCGCGAAATGCAGCTGGAGGGCAGGAAGTGATTTTTCTCCACAGAAATCACTAGCAGAAACTCCAAATGCCTGTGTTTTGCGTTGTTTTTGGATGCTCACAAGGAGCTTTTATCGTGTACGAAAATGTGTTGTTCATAAGGGGGAAAAAGTCAAGAAATTGACTGAAAAACGCAGGAAAAAGTGGCTTGTAAACCTGCGTCTGTGGTCGGGAGGAGCGGGGCCGGATAATGCTCGTGTGTGCAAATGATTAATATAAGATATAATAATATATGAAGATATTAATAAAGAAATATATCAATAGATACAGGGTGACAGTCAGAATTCACTGAATGCTAAACGCCACACATAGACACGATGTAAATAAGATATTATCTGCAGTTCAGAGAGCTTCACTGATTATAAAGGAACATCGTGAGATTGCGATAAATTGAAGTGAGTGACAGCAGAAATAGTTGCTTAGCCTATATCCACCGCCTCAATATATGACAGGCAAGTATTTCAATTTAGTTTAAAAATCGCTCCTCTTCATAACATATGGATCAC